TATTTTAGCTTTTGGCTACTGTTTTGCTTCTTGTAGCCTTCAGCTACTATAATTTATTTTAGCTTTTGGCTACTGTTTTGCTTCTTGTAGCCTTTAGCTACCATAATTTATTTTAGCTTTTGGCTACTGTTTTGCTTCTTGTAGACTTTAGCTACCATAATTTATTTGAGCTTTTGGCTACTTTTTTGCATCTTATAGCCTTTAGCTACCTTTATTTATTTTAGCTTTTGGCTACTGTTTTGCTTCTTATAACCTTCAGCTACCTTTATTTATTTTAGCTTTTAGCTACTGTTTTGCTTCTTATAACCTTTAGCTACCTTTATTTATCTTAGCTTTTAGCTACTGTTTTGCTTCTTATAACCTTTAGCTACCTTTATTTATTTTAGCTTTTAGCTACTGTTTTGCTTCTTATAACCTTTAGCTACCTTTATTTAGTTTAGCTTTTAGCTACTATTTTGCATCTAAAAGCCTTCAGCTTCCATAATTTATTTTAGCTTTTGGCTACTGTTTTACTTCTTGTAGCCTTTAGCTACCATTATTTATTTTGGCTTTTGGCTACTGTTTTGCTTCTTGTAGCCTTCAGCTACCATAATTTGTTTTAGCTTTTGGCTACTGTTTTGCTTCTTGTAACCTTTAGCTACCTTTATTTATTTTAGCTTTTAGCTACTGTTTTACTTCTTATAGCCTTTAGCTACCATAATTTATTTTAGCTTTTAGTTACTGTTTTACTTCTTATAGCCTTTAGCTACCATTATTTATTTTAGCTTTTGGCTACTGTTTTACTTTTTATAGCCTTTAGCTACCATTATTTATTTTAGCTTTTGGCTACTGTTTTACTTCTTATAGATTTTAGCTACCTTTATTTATTTTAGCTTTTATCTACTGTTTTTCTTAATTTTGCTTTGACATCTGTTTTATTACATTTAACAACTTTTGGGCTAATTTTACCTTCTAGCAATTGACAACTTTTAACTTAAGCTACTGTTTTGCACATTTTAGCTACTGTTTTTCTGATTTTAGCTTTAACAGTTGTTTTGTTACTTTTAGGTATGGTTTTGATCAAATTAATAACTGTTTTGTTTTTTTAGCTACTGTTTTGCTAATTTAAACTTTGAGCTATGTTTGTGATGATTTTTGCTTTTAGCTACTGTTTAGCTTGTTTTAGCTTTCAGACTCAATTCTGCCTTTTTAACTTTTAGCTGTTGTTTTGCTAATTAACTAGTTTTTCTGATTTTTAGCTACTGTTTTGCTGACTTTAGCTTTAGCATTTGTTTTGCTACTTTTAGCAATTATTTAGCTAATAACAATATCTGCGTTGCTATTTTGAACTTTAAGCTACTATTGTGCTAATTCGAGCTACCCACAGGATTTTGTTCGTATTAGTTTTGTAGCCTCCTTTGTGCTAATTTTAGCTTACAGCTGCTGTTTTGATGATTTTAACCTTTAGTTCCTGTTCTCCTTCTGTTAGCTTTAAAGCTGAACTCCTGTAGCCCTCGGCTGTATTTCTTTAGCTCTCGGCTCTTGGTGTTTCAGCTGTTTTGTTGGCTTGTTTTCCAGGAAGCTGTGCCATCCTAAACTGGTTCAGCTGTACGGGGTGTGTCTACAGCAGCGCCCCCTGCTGATCGTGGCCGAGTTCATGGAGAACGGCTGCCTGCTGAACTTCCTGCGTCAGAGGGGCGGGGCCCTAAAGGAGGCGTGGCTTCTGTCCATGTGTCAAGACATCTGCGAGGGGATGGAGTACCTGGAGGCCCACAGTTTCATCCACAGAGACCTGGTGCGTCTCCACGGACCAGCTTCCTGGTTTTAGGAAGTCTTTGTGCTAAAGCTGTATTTTATTTTGTCCTCCAGGCAGCCAGGAACTGTTTGGTTGACGAGCGCAACGTGGTGAAGGTCAGCGACTTTGGGATGACCAGGTACGTCAGGAGCTTCAGTTTGTATCGTAGATTATGTCCCGTGTGGAGCAGGAGGTCACTGGTTTGTTGTGGTGGTAGCCTCAGGACGTCTCCTGAGCTTTGACCGACCGCACGAGATAAAACACATTTTACAGGTTTTGACCAAAAACGTTCTAAATCTGTTCCTGATCTTCATGAAGCTCTGGTATGGAAGGCGGCGGGCGACTAAAGATAAATGTTGACCCCCCCGAATCGGTTTCTCTCCAGCTGACGATGTTTCTCTGCAGGTATGTTCTGGACAACCAGTACACCAGCTCCAGTGGAGCCAAGTTCCCCGTGAAGTGGTCTCCTCCTGAAGTTCTCCACTACAGCAAATACAGCAGCAAGTCGGACGTTTGGTCCTTCGGTGAGGAAACGGATCCGGTCCCCGCCAGGACCCTCCTGCAGCCGGGATCTTTTTCCAAACATTGACCCCGGACGTGTTTGTGTTCAGGTGTGGTGATGTGGGAGATCTTCTCTGAGGGTCGGACGCCCTTTGAGAACAACTCCAACCTGGAGGTGGTGACCGAGATCACCAGAGGGACCCGTCTGTTCCGACCCCACCGGGCCACGCAGCTGCTCTACACCATCATGTACCGCTGCTGGCACGAGGTAGAACCCGTCCGGTTGACTCAGGTCTTTCAAACTGTCGGGTCCAACCAGCAGGAGGTTTGTGACGGATCTAAAGGATCCCGACTAGATGGATCAGTAGACCTCCTCTGGTAGATGTTTGCTTCAGCAATGAGAACTGGACTGTGAACAAACTGTAGGCCGTTCAGTTTTTATACGTTTAAAGATTAATGTCACACAGAGGTTGCCGTGTTGTTTATGCTGCAATGCATTCTGGGTAAACGAGGTAGACAGATGTTCTGGTGCGAGCTCCGTCCAGCTCGATTGTGATTTTGAACGATGTCAGACGTTCAGTGAACCGGAGCGCGTCGACGGAGAGGAGGATGAAGAAATGAGTCCAGCTGCGGCTGAAAATGATGAAGACTGAACGAGGAAGAGGAGAAGAGCTGCTGGTGAGAGAGAAGATGCTGCAGAGAGCTCTGCTGTCCACCACGAACATCTGGATCAAAGCATGTCCTCTGATAGACCCAAGAGATATTTACACATTATATAAGAATAAAGACACTTTACACATCTATCCACCATCCAACCAACATCCAACTATCCATCATCCAACCACCATTCATCATTCATCCATCCATCCATCCATTATCCAACCATCATTCATCTTCCATCTATCATACAACCATCATCCATCTATCATCCAACCATCATTCATCTATCATCCATCCATCATCCATCCATGATTCATCCATTCATCATGATCCATCCATCATCCAACCATCATTCATCTTCCATCTATCATACAACTATCATCCAACTACCATCCATCTATCATCCAACCATCATCCATCCATGATTCATCCATCCATCCATTATCCAACCATCATTCATCATCCATCTATCATACAACCTTCATTCATCTATCATACAACCATCATCCATCTATCATACAACCTTCATTCATCTATCATACAACCATCATTCATCTATCATACAACCTTCATTCATCTATCATACAACCATCATTCATCTATCATACAACCATCATTCATCTATCATCCAACTATCATCCATCCATGATTCATCCATTCATCCATCCTTCCATTATCCAACCATCATTCATCTTCCAACTACCATCCATCTATCATACAACTACCATCCATCTATCATACAACTATCATCCATCTATCCTACAACTACCATCCATCTATCATCCATCCATCATCATCTGCAGCTTGTTTTAATTTAGCTCGTGGGGTTCTGGAGTCGATGTAAAGCCAAACTTTGTTCCCCCCGAGCCACAGAACAAAACACAGCAACACTTCACACACATTACTCACGGGGAGCGTGCACGTGACCTCAGTCTGGACCTGCTCTGGGGATGGAGGATGGACAGAAGAGGTTTGTGGGAGTCACCTCAGCTTTAGCTTTTAGCATATTAGCTCCAGAGCTAATATGCTAAAAGCTAAATGTCACATGAAGTTGTGCATGAAGTCTAACAGAAAATATAACTTTAGTGTCAAATGTAAAAACGTTTCCGCCGTGACTGCTTGTGTTTAGTCTCCACTACAACCGATGTTGTCGTCGCCCCAGAATGCATTGCACCAGGAAAATAATGACAACATCCTTAGGTGAAAAATGTAATAAACATGATATTTATTAAGTAATTAAATAATTAGTGATCACGTGTTAAGAATATATATTTTAGTAGATTAGAGAAGATAACAATATTTTAGGACCAGCATGTGTAAATAAACCGTTGAATTATGGTAAAGATTTTAAACTATTAATTATTATTATTAACCCGCCAAATAAAACTAGTACTGAAAATATATTTTTAATTCTGAGTCTTAAAGCGACATTTGCACTGATCTTGTCTGATTTTTCCTCAGTGTTGTCTTAAAAAGCTCCAAGTTTCATTAAGTGAGGCCGAAATGTTTTAATTTACCAATAAAATATTTTATACTTTTTAAAAAAATGACAAACAATGTTTTTGTTGAAAACTTCAAAATGCAAATAATCCATTGAAAAGCTAATACAGTGAACATATATAATTACCATTAAAGTGACCACTTCCTTCTTCTTCTGTGGTTTTGTAGAAACCCGAGGGTCGGCCATCTTTCTCCGAGCTCCTGGAGGAAATCAGAAAACTGGCAGAAAACCCAGAATAACAGAAACATCTTTCTACATCTCAACATCAAACTGTTTATTTTACTCTTTTGTACAAAATGTTGATCTGTTGTAAATAATTTTTATGTCTTTTTCAATGTTGTAATGTTCTAAATTTTATTTTTATTTATATTTTAAAAAATGTCTGTACAATAAAACACGAAAGAGCTTCTTATATTGTAGTTTATAAAACATTTATAGACTCATGATGTGCTTAGGAAACATTTACGACCAAATAAAAAAAGTCTCTGAGTTTTGTGAGAATTGTCGTTTAGTATAAATATATTTTTAATGAACTGATGTTATAAAAACAAATTTCCATATGAATTTTGTCTCTAGTTTGCAGCTAAACTCTAAATTTTTGTATTTAAACAGTTAAACATTAATTTCTTGTGGAAGGTTAAAAAATAAGGATAATAAAGAGTTTATAGGCAGATTCAGTTCATAAATTGATTAAATTAATTTCATAAAAACATTTATGAACTCCTCACTTAAAGCCTAAAGCTGATTTATAATTTATTAAACTGAATACAACTTGAAGTTGTTTATTATTAGTTAATTATTGAAATTAGTTGATTTTTTTTGTTTGGGACCTTGTTAATTCATAAAAATCAAAAACCAAGAAAAATGTCAACTTTTTATTTTACTGTAAAGTTTTATTGTGTTAAATTATTTATTTCTGACGCTCCTTCAGGATGCAGAGCGAACAAACATGAGGTTGAAAAAGTTTTTGGGGTCAAACCAACAGGTTAACTAACCCCTGCTGGGCGGGGGGGAGTTGTTGCCATGGCAACAGGTCAGGTGACAAACACACCTGTGTCCTGCTCTCAGGTGACGCTGACCCTTTAGAGACAAACAGAAACGTTACTCCAGTGTTTACGAGCTGGAGCAGATTCAAGCGGCTAACAGAGATCAGCTGGACGGTCAGTGTGTGTGTGTGTGTGTGTGTGTGTGTGTTTATGTGGTTTATCTTTTTGTTTACAGAGACACAAACAATCTAAGTTAATGACGATCATTTATTTCCCACAGATCTACTGATTCTGTAAAATGAAATATGTTCTCGCCTTTTTAAATTGTTCAAACGTTTTCAGTTCAGACTCTTGGTGTCATTTTTAAAAAGTCTTTTAAATCAGATTAATATTAATGTTTAAAGCTTGTACACCAAACTCAGCTACGCTAACGTTTAATATAATTTATAATGACGTTCTTTAAAGATTAAACTTTCCTAAAAGGACTAACTTGTATCATATTTAGTACTTTGTATAGATTCAGCTAAAGTAACTGGAACAAACTTTGCATTTGTAACAAAAAAAAAAAAAGCTAAAGATTTCATTTAAAGCTGTTTTTGAAATGGTTTATTTTTCGATACAAACCTGGTCCGGCCAGAATTAAACCGTGTTTCTCCACACTGAGGTTGTTCAAAGATCTACGACTGGTAAGACATTAACTTCTCATAACATATCCACAGAACCCACTTTTAACTTTGAAGCAAAGAGGCCGAACAAACAAAACGAAGATTATCTTCTGGAAAAGCAAAACAAACAGCATTAGTGCAGGAAAATACAGAAATAAGATTACGAGAACGTTTGGCTTGTTGGAACCACAGTACGAACGTGGGGTGAATTAAGCCTCTGGTTTTCTACTGTCTAAGTGCAAGACGTGGGGAAACATTCAGTTTAAAGAAGGTTCATTCTACAAACTGAGAAGAGTCAAACTCTTCGACAAAGATACAGTTGGTGATAAATTACGTAAGGGATAGTAAACATATAACAGCTGGTCATCTGCGTATAAAGACAGTTTCAAGTCAAGACCTTTACTGAGAAATAACTGTATAAAACTAGTACTGGATCTGAGGAATACATAATTTGAAGGAGATTTCCTGTCCTTTCAGAATAAGAGCTTGATGGAGCGTTATGAGTCTCTGGGTCCGGTCGGGGAGGGCAGCTACGGCACCGTGCTCAAGTGCCGCCATCGAGACTCTGGCCGCCTCGTCGCCATCAAGAAATTCCTGGACTCAGACCAGGATAAGACGGTGAAGAAGATTGCCCTCAGGGAAGTCAAGCTGCTCAGGGTACCCGTCAGTCAACACGTGCACCAGTCCGTCAATGTTTAACTGAGTGTGAGAAGGTCTGTAGCAGCCTGAAACCTGACCCAATCAGCCAACCATGAAATAACCGAGAACTCAGGGTCAAGTTCTCACATTTAGTATTAAGGCTGCAATAAGAAGATGTTAACAGGTTGGTTTGGTTGGTCTAATAAAGTACAAAATGTTTTATAGGAGAAACAGTCAAGACAATAGTGCACATCTTAGATTGGGTGAATATCTTTAGGTACCAGCATTAAGGTCAAAAGTGGACAATAGACATTATGTTTGATCTATGGTGTAAAGACCTAGGTCTATGTTCTGTGAACGTGGATAATCTTTAGATCAAGCATGAGTGGTAACTGTTTTTATAAAAACAAAAATAAACTACATTTGTCCTAAATTTGTCTTATGTTTTTCAAACCTTGAAGCAACTCCATCACAACAACTTGGTGAACCTCCTGGAGGTGTGGAAGCGTCGTCACCGCTGGTACCTGGTCTTTGAATTTGTGGATCGAACTCTTCTGAATGATCTGGAACAAAACCCCAATGGATTGGACCTCAACACGTGCCGGCAGTACTTGTTCCAGGTCCTGAGGGCTGCTGATTTTTGCCACCAACAAAACGTGAAGATAAAGAATAAAACATTCTCTCTGACAATGTCCAAAAATCCATCCATCCATTTTCTTTACCCGCTTGTTTATGTTCAGGGTTCTGCTGAGCTTGTGCCTATCTCCAGCAGTCATTACATGAAAGGTGAGGTGCACCCTGGACAGGTGCACCCTGGACAGGTGCACCCTGGACAGACTGCCAGTCCATCACTGGATCAATAGAGACAAACAAGAAAGACGTAATTCAGGCACACACTTTGGAGTTGCCAACCTAAAGGGCATGTTTTTGAACTGTGGTAGGAAACGAATGCAGTAGAAAACCAAAGATGACCCCTCGTATCTGTTGTCATTTATAATTACATGGTTTATGTACATTTTATGTAAGCACTGGCTGATATTTAAGTTTACCTGTCCGATAAGTAATCTGTACATGGTTCAAGACTAACAAAAGCTTGGTCTTGCACTGTGAGCTTTTGTTAGTCTTGAACCATGTTCCCAGCCACGAGTCAGACCATTTACTGTCAAAAGTTCTTTAAATTTGGTGATACATCATTGTTGTATTGACCTCCAACATCAGCATCTGCATCGCAGAGTTTAACTTTCTAGTCTTGTTCAAGAGGGATGGCAAGATGGAGCAAGAGATGGATCAATGGACGGGGTCTTGTCAGTCGTCATGGGGGCATTGCTCTGGTGTAAAAAAAAAAAGCAAGACTCCCAATTTACTGGGTCTTCTTCCAACTCTCACCCATAGTCATGATGTATGGATTGTGAACCCCAAGTGAGTAAAATGAGCTTCTTTTTTAGAGTGGCCTGGCTCAGTTTTAGGGATAGGGTGAGGAGCTCTATCATCCTGGGGAAACTCAGAGCAGAGTCTCTGGTTTTCCATTTAAAAAGGAGTTGACAGAGGTAGTTCAGGCATCTGATAAGAATATCTTCAGGGCACCTTTCAGAAGATATCCTAGAATGCAAATTGAACCCAGAACTTGTTGAAAGGTTTGCGTTCCCTTTTTAGATTTGGAATATTTCAGGATTCCCTAAGAGAAACTGAAGAGTGTCACTGGGGAAAGGATTGCATAGCTTTCCCTTCTGGACCTGTTGCTTACATGACCCAGTGAAAAATAAGTGGATGGATGGATGGATGGATGGATCATGCATTTCTTCAACAAACCTAAAGTTAAAAAAAGCCATAATGTAGAAACAAATGTTGCCATCTTGTTGTTGAATTGTTTCCCAATCTCAGGTCATCCACCGTGACATCAAACCTGAGAATATCCTCATTTCTCAGGGGGGTGTTGTCAAACTGTGTGATTTTGGCTTTGCCCGAACCATTGAGTCACCATCTGAAGGAGGTGTCTACACCGACTATGTAGCTACTCGTTGGTACAGAGCCCCCGAACTACTGGTGGGAGATATCAAGTATGGCAAGTAAGTCTCTGTACCGACCTGATGTTGACTGTTTTCAAGAAAACCAGTAATGTGTATTTATGTGTGCTTGTAGACCAGTAGATGTGTGGGCTCTGGGTTGCCTGGTAATAGAAATGTTAACAGGAGAGCCCCTGTTTCCCGGAGACTCTGACCTCGACCAAATATATCACATCGTCAAATGCTTTGGTAAGCACTTAAACCATACATCATCAAGTTGTTGCTTCTTTCTACCACAATAATTGAATTCTTTGCTCTAGGTAACCTGATGACCCATCATCAAGAGGTGTTTTACCAAAATCCAGTCTTTTCTGGAGTCAAACTACCTGAATGTTCAAGCACAGTCCCACTGCGGCAATGCTTCCCCACGATCACACCACCAGCTCTTGATCTGGCACAAGTAAGCCCAGTTTAGCTGATTTACCAGTTTAAATGCTACTTTACACACAAATATTCATAAAATTGCTCTTTCTGTTGTGGCGACTGGCAAAAAGCTTTTTTTAAGTGCACCCTCTTTGAGCTGAGCGCGGTAATCACCTGCGACAAATGTAATTTTTGTTCAATTCTTTGTACTCATGCCCATCTGTACCATGATGGTTTGGTACAAATACATGTTCCATTAAACACCTAACCAGTAGGTTTTCTTCTGGAGAACTGAAAGGATTTCTTCATGTGTGCTGTCCTATTTCAGCCACCGAATGACACTTAGGTGTCACACTGGTGCCAAAGCCATGCCTTTTTTATTCTGTCCCATTTATTGTCCCATTTATTCTGTGACTGAAAACATAATTTCAGTCACAGAATAAAACGTATCATTAGAAGCTTTGTTTGTGTTTCAGAGATGTCTAGAGATGGATCCAGAAAGACGAGCTCAGTGTTCAGAGCTTTTAGAGCATCATCTTTTCACACACGACTCCTTCCACATCAGGTACATCTTTGTGGTCTACATTTCCACGTGTGTCAATTTCAAGCTTCATCTATTAGAGTTTATATATCACTTTAAAAAATGTCTGTTTGCATTTACATAGATTTTTGGATGAGCTAAATGCCAAAATCCAAACAGAGCACAAGGAAAACTCTACTTTTCCCAAAATAACCAAAGCCCCAGGGCAAGAAACGGGAGATGAGAAAACTTGTCGAGGCAAGGACAAGAAACAACCTGAAGACAAAGAGGAGAAAGTAAACAAGGACAAAATGGAGAAGACAAAAGCAAAACAACTTTCTAAATTCTCTAAAACCAATCGCAACGCTACAGAATCTCTCATGTCCACACAGCCCAGAACATTTGGCAACAAGGGTATCCACAACACCTTGCAAAATCCCATCAAAATAAAACCTGAAAAACCCGTTGGTGCAGAGTTGAAGAGGGAGTTAGAGATTTCTAAGTCAACTAAAAGCTTAAATTATAAGTCAGTCGACGAAAATGAGACAGCAGTGAACCTGAAGAAGAAAAACTTCATGGCAGTAAAACCGAAACAAGAAAATGTGCCTCCAGATCCAAGGAAAGAGCTCCTGCAAAATGGAAAAGACTTGGATTGTTGTGGTCCAGGTCATGAGAAAAACACGATGAAGAATATGAGTTTCTTTAAACCTGAGCCGAGCCAAGAATTTGCAAAAAGTTGGAGCAACCCGACCTTGAAAGTGCCCAAACGGTCAAATAATTCAGACGCCGACAGTCAGAGTTTGTGTTCATCTCCAAAAACTTCCCTGGAATTAGACGTAAATCCAAAACACAAAACTTCTCAGAACTCGAGCAACGACCACAACGTGGTTTCTGTACCGCTGATGCTTCATGACACAAAGTCTTACAAGACGAGTCCTGCAGCAGAACTTCAGTTGGTCAGACTGGAAACTGACGCAGAACAAAGAATCTCAATAAGTCCAAACGTCCTGCCCCAAAACACAAAGACATCCACAAACAGTGATCCACAAATCAGCACAAACGTCCCCACCAGGTCTTCAAAGACATTTCCGTTGGACCAGTCACCCATAGAAACCAGTTCTGCCCACAACACTGCTGTCCTACCTCAAGGAACCTCAAATCTGAAAGTTTCCAAAATGGAGGGCACTTCGAGGTCTCTTTTAAACGACAGGGAACTTACAGACGACAGGGACTTCAGATCTTGTCGTGGTTCCTTGAATCCAGTAACAGAAACCCCTGAGGGTACAGTTCTGTTGTCCCAAACTTCAGATGGATCTTTTAAACCTTCTGTACCGTCATTTGTTGCAAGGCAAAACAACAAATTAGTTAAAGATGAAAGATTTACTTCAACTATTGTAGGAACCGCTGCTCTAAGAGCATCAGACGTCTCAGAAAAAGAGAACCGAGAAGATTTAGTTTGTCTGTCTGTCAACAGTAGTTCTACAACTAATCCACTAATGAAGCCAACCCTGAAGGCTTCTGGAAACACAGGGAGCTCAGAATTTGATGCCAATCCCTTAAACGTTCATCACCCAAAGCCATACCAGTTACAGGTTGGATCTTTCAAGAAGCACACAAGGTCCTCTGTGATGCCCAAGACTACAAAAACGACTCCGGCTCCAAATGCAAAGAAGAAAAGTGACAAAACCGACAGAAACAACACGACTATTTCCAGAGACTCAGCTTTGATCATGTCTTTAGACCACAAAGCTTCAACAGAAAGTTTTATCGTTTTCAAAATGGACACTTCTTACCTCATGGAGTTTGATTTAGGTGTACCACGATCCTCTACACCTTCTCCCCCACCACCTTCTTCAAATCCTTTGCTTCTTCCTCCATCCTCACAACCACTTATGTCCTCCCTCTCTATGTTTGGTACCAACAACCCAGTTACCAGCGACTACCTTATTCAGGGAGCTGGTTTCCATCCCAGGAACAGCAGTCTTAGGTAATTTTCAATTCTTTTTAACGTTCTGACACACCTAGGACCCATTTTATCACCAAATATGACCTGGAACCATTTTCCGTGGTCACATTATTGGCTGTTCTTACGGTCCCCTCTTCAGGTCAGAGTGAACACTGGTCCAAAAACAGACCATTTCTCTAACTTACACCAAATTATTTTCGGCCTGTCAAGATTTCTTTGACGTGCAGAGTGTAATATGAGCCTTATTGGGTCTTTGTAGTCTCTTTGTACATGCAGCATACTTTTCTCCTCATGCGTTACAGATATGTGGACAAGCCAAGACGTTACGATGGCACACACGATCGACAGGCTCAAAAGTTCACTGCAAGCCAAGTGTCTTGGTCTTCCACCCTTCAGGTGAGAACGTGAGATGGTTTTTGTCTGTACAACAGAAACGACTCAACCAAAGTCATTTTCTGTTTTTTTTTTTTTCAGGCACCAGAAAACAGTTCTATCAGTGAAATGACCCAGAACAAGTCACATGTCCATTTCCCAGACATAAGAAGTTCAGTGTTTCCAGAGTTCAGAGAAAAAGAAGGTACGACCACACCTGAGTGAAGCGGTGACGCGGCGATGATCCTCAAATCCTTCAAATCAAACGTTCTCCCAACGTCTGCGTTGTTTTATCAGAGTGAGAAAACTCTAGTGTTGAATGTCAAATTATAAAAAGCCAAGTAATCTCACAACTTTGAAATTAAAATCAAGAAATCACATTTTTACAAATCAGAAAACAACATTTTAAGAGCTTCCTTAATGGAAAATATTCCAAGTAAAATAAACTGAAACCTATGTGAAGGAAAAATAAAACATTTGAGACCTGGATGTTTTTAAGACTCATATTTTATTTTAAAATCTGTAAACTTTAGCAACTAAACTGATTTTTGACATGGATTTTATATACGGGTAAATCAACTAAACACCATATCTGACTCCAAAACAGAAAACTACCACAAAAAATTTAGCTACTAAATGAAAACATTAATAAAACGTTTTCTCTTGTAATGTTTTTAGGCAAACACATAAAAGGAGCTGTCAAGAATCAGAGGAAAGACAAAAATCTGGTTTCGTCCAGTCCTCCATCAGAAGCACAACAAGGACAAAACACCAACACAACAACACAATTATAAAAGAACATCTGGCTTTGATTGTTACTTTTAATCTGAACCTGTTAACGTGAACAAGACTGAGATGTAAACATTACAAATATTGTCTTTGAGACAAATGAGCCTCAGCTGTTTGTTGTTATGTTGTAAACTGATTCAGCTACGCTTTGCTAATGTAAACAATCACATTTATATTTTTTAATAAACAAAGGACAGTAAAACCAGAGCAGCAAATTCCTTTTGTTTGTTTGTTATTTTTACCAGAGTAACATGTAACGCATTGGCATCAGAAGGATTTGTAATGTGTGTGTGTGTGGGGGGGGTCCTCCCCTGGAAAGTTTTGAATAAAATAGATGACATTTCGTGCATTCTGGTGTACTTTAACGTGTTGTTAAACAGCTACGTTTACATAAGTAAACACTTGATTCAATAACTATTTCAGAGAGTAACAAGAAGTAACCTGACCAACAGCTCTCCTTGTGTGAATAGAACACGCTCCACTGCTCTCAAGCATCCTAGCCCCCACCCTCCCCCAGCGTTGAAAACTGCTGGAACTAACGTAGCACTAAGCTAGCAGCACATGTCACGGACATTGGCTAAGACGCTAAAGATGTAGTGCTCCGCTTATCTCGCACATCCCAGTCCCCAGTCAACAACTGCAGCACCAATGTGGCGCTAAGCTAGCGCGCAAAACGGAGGTGTCTCCCCCTCCTCCCCCATGAGCACCCTGCCAAGGCAGACGACCGAGGAGAAACAAAGCTAGCGGTGGTGAGTTGTTGTAGGTAACCAGGAAAACCCGGAGTGGATTTTTAATGGTTTGAATATTCTCCTATTAATCACGTAGAATGAGTTACTTCATGAAGAAATAGAAACAGCACTGGGTGAATTAATATTTCATGGTAAATGTTTGTGCGTGTGTTGGGGGGGGGGGGGGCCAAATGAATATTTTTTAAATATGTGAGGACACACGTCCCATTCACATGTAATTGTTGTGACGCCTGTGGGGTAACATTTTGTTAATGTGTTGTTAAGTTAACAGCCAGTAGTAATTTGTTGCTTATATTTAAAATTAAAACACAAAAACATATTTAAAATGACTTTGCAAATTTAAAAATGTTTTGTCGTTACTGCTGAACTAACACCTGCGAACTAACACATGGACCTTTCCTGTAATTGTTTGTCAGCGCTAAGCTAGCAGCTAATTTACAGAATATTTCTGTAAATCTTAGTTTTTTTTTTTTTAAAGATGCAAACACAAAAAACCTCTCAAGATGTCAAAAAGTTCAAAGGTGCTTTTAGATTAAATTTACGACTCGTCGCTGGAGTCCTCTAGAGAAAGGGCGCCAGTTTTCCAGTTTGCTGCCGACTCATCGCTACTCGACGTCACATCGAGGCCTCCCATTGGCTGAGAGCTGCCGACACGTCCTCTGCTATTAGTCAGGAGGTAGTACAGGAGGCGGAGCTCAGCGTCGGTGTGGCGGGTTGTGATTGGTCCTCCAGCAGCTGACTGTGTTCTGATTGGTGCTCTGGTTACTGGTTTCTGTGGCGACGATCGGACGATCGGCTTCTCGGTTGTAGTGACCACCGGCTGCGAAATGAAAAGCATTTATTGTTTGTTCTAATGCAGATGTGTCGCGTACAATATTTATTTATTTATTCATTGTTGAGAAGGGATTTTCAGTCGGGTACTGGTTTCTGTGTTTAGGAGTTTTTCGTTTCTCATCTGGACAGAAATAAATTTATCAAGAAAAAAATCATTTTAACAAATATTCAGAGGCGACACTTGAGGAGGAAACAAGTCTCAGTATCGCGGTCGATTTTCTGACCTTCGTCTCTTACCTTCGTGGGGACGGGTGAGGCTGTGGTTTCTGGTCTGGTTGTGGTCGTTGTTGGGGTGTCCTCAGACGGGTCAACAACAAAAATCCTGCAGGTCTCATCTACAGCCGAACCATCGATTTCTGGAAGCTCAAAATCTGGTGGAAAAGACTGAGCTGTTGGAGAGAAATCAGAAGAATATATATTAAAGAAACAAACATCTGGATACATTCACAGGTAGTGAACGTCAGAAACATCTGGATCCGTTCACAGTTCATGAACATCAAACATTTGGATCAGTTCACAAACAACAGAAACATCTGGATCCATTCACAGTTCGTGAACGTCAGAAACATCTGGATCCATTCACAGTTCATGAACGCCAGAAACATCTGGATCCATTCATAGATAGTGAATGTCAGAAACATCTGGATCATTCACAATTCCTCAACGTCAGAATCATCTGGATCCATTCACAGATAGTGAACGTCAGAAACATCTGGATCATTCACTTTTCATGAACAAACATCTGGATCATTCACAGTTCATGAACGTCAGAATCATCTGGATCCATTCACAGTTCACAAACACCACAAACATCTGGATCCGTTCACAGTTCATGAACGCCAGAAACATCTGGATCCATTCATGGTTCACAAACATCAGAAACGTCTGGATCTGTTTACAGTTCACGAACATCAGAAACATCTGGATCCATTCACAGTTCATGAACGCCAGAAACATCTGGATCCATTCAAGGTTCACAAACATCAGAAACATCTGGATCCGTTCACAGTTCATGAACGTCAGAAACATCTGGATCCATTCATAGATAGTGAACGTCAGAAACATCTGGATCCGTTCACAGTTCATGAACGCCAGAAACATCTGGATCCATTCATAGATAGTGAATGTCAGAAACATCTGGATCATTCACAATTCCTCAACGTCAGAATCATCTGGATCCATTCACAGATAGTGAACGTCAGAAACATCTGGATCATTCACCGTTCATGAACGTCAGAATCATCTGGATCCATTCACAGTTCACAAACACCACAAACATCTGGATCCGTTCACAGTTCATGAACGCCAGAAACATCTGGATCCATTCATGGTTCACAAACATCAGAAACGTCTGGATCTGTTTACAGTTCACGAACATCAGAAACATCTGGATCCATTCACAGTTCATGAACGCCAGAAACATCTGGATCCATTCACGGTTCACAAACATCAGAAACATCTGGATCCGTTCACAGTTCATGAACGTCAGAAACATCTGGATCCATTCATAGATAGTGAACGTCAGAAACATCTGGATCCGTTCACAGTTCCTGAACGTCAGAATCATCTGGATCCGTGCACAGTTCACGGATGTCAGAAACATCTGGACCGTTCTGTCAGACTGAAGCTGTTGAATAAATGTGTTTATTGTGAATAAAGTCCAGACTTCCTGTTTGTACTCACCCCTGACGCTGTGAGCTCTGAGGAGCCAGAGGAGGAACACGACGATCCGAGCTGAAAAACTGACAGACATGACTTTAAACTGTGGAGACGAGCGGCAGGAAGTCAAAAGAGACGGACCGTGGAGATGTGGAGACACCGGAGGTGATGGAGGACGAACGATGGGAGGGAAGTGAGACGGAGGCGTCTTCACTCCGAGCAGATCTGAGTTGTGAAACAGTAAAAGTCCGTTAATCCTCAAAGCTAAAGCTGTGAGGCTTTAAAGGGATAAATCAGACCGTTTGAAGTGGGATTATAAAGAACATCTTACCTGCTGCAGACAGCTCTTTGAACAGCTCATTCTGACAGAAGTGATGAGCTAACGGCTCGTCTGAAGTTTTCACTGTGGTTCAAGTGTTTTTTTACACGTTTATGTCTCAGCTAGTTTTGTGTTACAAAGTTTTTACGTTGAAATCCGGGTTTATTCCCAAAACAAAATGCAGCAGCAGCCGACTGTAGCAGGTGGGACTTTTTTACATTAATTTCATGTGAAACTGTCAGGGATGGAACGTGCAGAAAACAGCGTTTGAACAAACAGTTAAGTTTCGGCGACTCAAAGACTTGGATCTTGGCTCCATCCGGACCAGCCTTTAGCTCGTCAGTCTGGTCAGAATTCAACTCTTTTCCTCCAAACTCAATCATCTGCAACAAGTAAGATATTAACTGTTCATAACATGATCCTAGAATCCAGTTTTAAACGTATGAAACATGGAGGACCATCGAACACTGGGCGCTCTCTGAGCTGCTGGAGTGTTTTCAACATATTTTATTTAAGTTTTAATTAGTTTATTATGTAAGTTATTTGTTATTTGGACTAAAAGGACATTAAAACATTTCCTTTGATTCAAAACTTTTTTCTCCCAAACTAAAATGTTTATTTAGTTTACACTTTTTGTTGGATGTTAACAAAACAAAGAGAAACTGAACTCAGATCCAGGAGGAAAAACTGACTCCAAACGACAGAAAACTGAAGTTTTTTGGCTCAATTTAAAAACCTGCACGTTCAGTGAAGAACATTCAGCATCAAGGACAAAGTTTGTTTCAGTTTGAGGTCGTCTGGGACGGAGAGACGTCTGGAATGTCCCGAAACGTTTTTGTTTTGCTAAAGATTTAGTTTAGTTAAAGCTCAGCGCAGCAAGTTGTGTAATTATCTTCCAGCCCAGATTAGTGGAGATCAGGGAAGAATTCAACCTTAAAGCTCAGTTTGGTCGTCACAAAGGTGATTTCCAAAACGCACGCTGGGAAAAAACGCACTCACCAGCTCCGTGTTGTAACTCTGAGGTTCTTTCTGCACAAAAACATTCTTCAGATGTCTCAGAAATTTGTTGATAAACTGGAGATTTGTTCATCTTTACCCCTCAGAGCTCAAGTCTTTACTGAGCTGCTTCATTAAACATACAAATCTGTTGACAAGCATTTCCTGTATTTCATGACTAACATGGATTTCCTCGTGTTGCACAGTTTGGTTGCCTTGGAGACCTTGTCCACAACCCTTTGAGCAAACATTTTGTCACATGAAAACAAAAGTAAGATTATTGTAGGCGAGGCCCTAAAATGCTACTTTCCACTGCCCGACATCACTGGTTGAGGCCAACAGCGCCCCGCCTCCAGTATACACAGTGTTGGTAAAGAGCTGCTCTCCCGGACTCAGCTGCCTCATGGTTTGGCAGAAACTCCTTGGAGTTGATCAAGAGTCTCTATCT